AGGAAGGGAACCCCAAAAATGGGGTGAGGACCCCAAAAATGGGGAGGGGGACCCAAAAAAGGGGTGGGAACCCCAAAATTGAGGAGGGAACCCCAAAATTGGGGTGGGGACCCGAAAATTGGCGGAAAATTGGCAGAAAAATCAACTCAGTGAGGGGAAAATGGGGTGGGGTGACCCCAAATTTACACGAGGAGAACCCCAAAAATGGGGTGAGGACCCCAAAAATGGGAAGGGGGACCCCAAAAATGGGGAGGGGGACCCCAAAATTGAGGAGGGGACCCCAAAAATTGGGTGGGAGACCCGAAAATTGGCATAAAAATCAACTCAGTGAGAGTAAAATGGGGTGGGGTGACCCCAAATTTACACGAGGGGAACCCCAAAAATGGGGTGAGGACCCCAAAAATGGGGAGGGGGACCCCAAAATTGGGATGGGAACCCCCAGAAATGAGGAGGGGAGCCCAAAATTGGGATGGGACCCCAAAATTGGCAGAAAAATCAACTCAGTGAGGGGAAAACGGGGTGGGGTGACCCCAAATTTACACGAGGGGAACCCCAAAAATGGGGTGAGGACCCCAAATTGAGGTGGGGGACCCCAAAACTGGGGAGGGGGCCCCCAAAATTCGCACCTTGCCGATGTTGGTGTTGTCCAGCGCGGCGTCGATCTCGTCCAGCACGAAGAACGGCGCCGGTTTGTAACTGGGGGGGCCGAGCCGGGCTGGGACCCCAAATTTGGGGCACCCCGGAAGGAGCCGGCCCCGGGTTTGGGGTCCCCCCCGAGGGTTTTGGGGTCCCCGGGGATTTGGGGTCTCATTGGGGAGGTTTTTGGGGGGATTCTTTGGGATTTCCCATGGAGATTTTGGGATTTCGCTCGGGATTTTTGGGGTCCCTGAAGGGTTTTTGGGGTCCCCCCGTGGGATTTTTGGGGTCGCTGAAGGATTTTGGGGTCCCCCCCGAGGGTTTTGGGGTCCCCGGGGATTTGGGGTCTCATGGGGGGGGGTTTTGGGGGGATTCTTTGGGATTTCCCCGGGAGATTTTGGGATTTGCTTCAGGATTTTTGGAGTCCCTGAAGGATTTTTGGGGTCCCCCCCGAGGGTTTTGGGGTCCCCGGGGATTTGGGGTCTCATTGGGGAGGTTTTTGGGGGGATTCTTTGGGATTTCCCCGGGAGATTTTGGGATTTGCTTCAGGATTTTTGGGGTCCCTGAAGGATTTTTGGGATTTCGCTTGGGATTTTTGGGGTCCCTGAAAGATTTTTGGGGTCCCCCCGTGGGATTTTTGGGGTCCCTGAGGGATTTTTGGGGTCCCCCCGTGGGATTTTTGGGGTCCCTGAAGGGTTTTTGGGGTCCCCCCCGAGGGTTTTGGGGTCCCCAGGAATTTGGGTTCTCATTGGGGGAGGTTTTTGGGGGGATTCTTTGGGATTTCCCCGGGAGATTTTGGGATTTCCATTGGGATTTTTGGGGTCCCTGAAGGGTTTTTGGGGTCCCCCCGTGGGATTTTTGGGGTCCCTGAAGGATTTTTGGGATTTCGCTCAGGATTTTTGGGGTCCCTGAAGGATTTTGGGGTCCCCCCCGAGGGTTTTGGGGTCCCCAGGGATTTGGGGTCTCATTGGGGAGGTTTTTGGGGGGATTCTTTGGGATTTCCCCGGGAGTTTTTGGGATTTGCTTCAGGATTTTTGGGGTCCCCCCGTGGGATTTTTGGGGTCCGGGGGGGGGGGTGGGGTCCCCCCTGAGGGTTTTGGGGTCCCCAGGGATTTGGGGTCTCATTGGGGGGGGGGGTTGGGGGGATTCTTTGGGATTTCCC